AGAATTATCTTATGCGAGGGTTTACCACACTGAGAGACAATCTGACACATTTTTTTAAACTCTGTACAATAGAAAGAAATAAAAAATGTTTATAGTGTGCTAAATTGGTCACTCGGTGTGTTAAATCCTTACGTAATTATACAAATCAAATACTATAATATAACGACCATGTAATAAGTAATTATTTTAGTTGAACGTTATTACGTTTATAGCGATACTCGGATGGTAGGAAACGGCAAAATTTCATTTGTGAAGTAAACACCAATTTAAAATATATCTAAAATTTTAACGATGTTTGTACTGACAAACCGTTTCATTCACCAAAGTGTTATCTGCCGATCAATCAAATTTGGTGGAAATACACCAAAGATTTAAATTCGCAGTGTAGAAAACCATTTAAAACATATTTTGTGTTAGCCAATAACCTGGTTTTATGTAATGTTTTTAATCGAATGCCATCATTCCGCTGTAACAATCAATTTTCCAAAAATAACATATCTCAGTGTATTCGTAAATTTGCCCATTTTCAAAGTAATATTTAAATATTTTCAAATTCACTTTTTCAAAATTTCTATATAAAGTTTCTAAGGCCAGTCGTTTAAAATGTATAAAATTATTATAGACTCTAAAATCTTAAAATACTAAAACTGTATTGAAAAAGTTTAGCGAAAAACGAGAATAAGTTTATAAGTGTAAAGTAATAAAAATTAGAAAATATTATCTTACTTCATCATCATCTTGTACGGATTCGCTTTCCCATGAATATTTATCAACACTAGTTCTTGTTTTATCAAATTCTTTTATTACTTTCGAGACTAAAAAGTAATAATTTTTAAATTAATTTATATTTCAATTTGTTTGTAATTTAATATCATAATGCTGCCATTAACTATAAATAAGGGATATTGTGATGCCGCAATGCGAGACTGCAATTTTTCAACATATTGTTTACGTATTTAATTTATAATATACGTTCTTCATCTGAAATTAGTAGTGTTTTGCCCCTGTACACAACACTGTCTCTAATAACGACAGAATCGTGCCGGTCATCTACTTAATTGCCTATGGAATAAAACATTTCAATTGAGATCACTCGATATTCGGTTAAGACTTTGATTCGGTGTACACTTACAAGAGCGTTTTTTTGTGACAATAAAATTGTTCAGAAGAGAAAACAATTCGATTTTAATTGTCGAGTTCCACAAGAGTTTATTTCACATTTATGTACATTTACCTGTAAAATGTTCATTATATCCGACCCCTCTAAGAATATAATGCCCACACTTTTTCTATTACCCTTCCTCTCGACTTTTAGTTACCAAAATTAAATTTTCTTTATGCCCCTTTCGTAGAAGTTCTCGTACAAACTTTTTCTCTTAATGTTAGCGTATTGTGAGATATTAAACGAAATAGACGTGGAAACAAACAGACACGTATAACTGTTTAACTAACAAAAATAAATATCTCAAGTATTTCTGACGAAATATATGGATATTTTTTAGAAATGAACATTTTGAAATAATGTAATTTAGAATTGTTTCGAATATAATAAACTACGACATTTAACACACTCGAAAAACTGTACATAAATAATTAATATTAAGTTACTTAATTTAAAAGTGTTCTAATTACATACCCTTCGTTCGAGATATGTAGCGGTTTACTACAAGGTGATCCGTTATCACTCTATTTATTCAACTTTATGATCCATGACTTAGATAATCAATTTATGAAGGAGGAGGATGGTATTATTATTAAGGACAATTTGATAGTACATTCGATACAGTACGCCGACGATGTGGTATTGATTTCACCGAAAAAAATAGGTCTTGAAAGAAAATTAAATTTAACTGAGAGATACTTTTCGAAGATGGGTTTGAAGATCAACCCGAATAAGACCCATACTGTTGTGTTTCGAAAGGGAGGTAAGCTGGAGAGGAATGATCATGAAATTTCTGAAGAGACTGTTAACTAGTGAGAATATACAGGTTAATACGATACTAAAAGTTTTAAAAACCTTGGCAGAGAACAAAAAGAACTATCAAAACAACTGGTATAACAAACTTAGGATCAAATTGGCAAGTTTTGGTTTGTCTCATTTATTATTTAACAGTTCAGAAACAGACTGGAATTACGGAATATCTTTATTGGTAAAGGATATGTATAAAAATTCAATTGTTCGTGAGATGAAAAATTTACAGGAGTCAAAATTTCACCCATGGTATATAGTTAATCTAAATTTACCTCCAGCAAGTAATTATATTTATTATAAAATACCATTTGGGATGATTAAACAGATTTTATATCATAGTTGAAGGAAATTATTTGGACATCAGGAATAAACAATGTAAGCTATGTAATGACCAAATTTCTGTATATCATATAATTAGTTTGTGCAAATTTTGTTCCAAACTTAGAAAACAGACTTGTATTTCTACCTTGTCAGCCATCAAATCTATGCAAGAATTCTATCAAAAAATATTTCAGATGGGTCCAACTATGATTATCAGAACTTATCAGTTCATTATTAAATATATTAAAATGGTGGAGAACCTTAATGAATGATATATATATTTAATTCTGTTGTTGTTCTAATTTTTGTTTAATATTATAATACTTTGATTAAATTTAAGAATAGAAGAAACTTACATAATAATTATTTATTGTCGGAAGACATTATATACTTACTAATATTTGTAACCCAATGCACCCCATGTAACTGAAATTTTTTTTCTAAATTACGTTAAAAAACTTGAATTGAATTGAATATTAAGTTACTTAATTTAAACAGATTTCAACACAATAAATTAAACATTTAATTATTCCGTAATAATTTATAAACAAATTATTTTACAAATCGGAAAATTTGTTATAATCTCTTTGTGACCTCACCTTCCTCCATCACTTCTCCTGTTTCATTTAAGTCCAAGGAGTCTTCTTTCTCCATTTCCAATTTTTCAGCGGAATTCTTTAAAATGTGAAAAATTATGATTTATGATAAAATACTCTTACAGTGTTCGTACTGCTTTTTTTATTAACACAGAAAATATTTATTTAATAATTAATAAACAATTTGCAGCTATTTTAAATAACACATTTTATAAGATTGTGTATGGTTGTCGTGGGTTTTTAAGTTGTAAACTTTTAAATAATAAAAATTTTTAAATTATTTTCAGTTATTTGCATTGAATTGTAACTTACAGAAGACGACGATTTTGCTTCTTCTCTTCTTTTTTGTTTCGCCAGATCCATAATTATATGCACAATCGTCTCCACCGATTCCTCTAGGGTGACTTCTTTTTTATCACCTACAACTTCTTCTTTTGAATTATTAACACTTTCTTTATCATCAAAATCTAAAGAATAAAAGTAAACACAATGAACACAGAAATTCGTAACACTTTCTTCGCCTGAATTCAAAAATCGTATAGGAATTAAAAAGAAATTAATTAATTTCTGGTTAGAAATTTCTTAAATTAAACGTGATAGAAAAGCATGTGATTTGGCATTATTAATTGTCTGGAAATTTTAAATTGTTTCAATCATAAAGTCAACTGAAAATGTAATATTACTGAAAAGTTATTCTCAATGTAAATAAATAAACGAATATTTGTTAGCGTATACTCAGAAGATTGCTTTATCCTCATTTATACAATATAATAAAAAGTCCGTGTGAAATAAGTTTTAGATATTCGGTTATCGAATTAACTTCCAAAATATAAATAATCATATATTTATTTCTATCTTTATACTCGAAAAACAACGATAAAAAATTCTGATCAATTGGAAGAAATCAATGGATAATTTTAACTAATTAAAAGTAATTATCACATTTGTTACTCTTTCGTTACAACTTTTTTCTTATAAATGAGAACTGTTTGCATTTATGTCGCGGTGAATATCGATTTATTTATTGAACAATATGAAAAGATAATGTAATAGACCAAAACACTTTGTAAATATAAAATATAGCATTGCTGAAATGTACTTAAAATCAAGTCGTAAGTATACATTAATCACTAATACATTAGCCTTTAGATTACATTTCTTACAACTTTTCATAAGATTATTTTAAATTAACGAGAGATTCAATTTTATTTTTGAATATCTTTTCTTATTGTAAAAGTGTTTTTATAATTTATGTTTGCTTTATTTATATTTATCTTAATGGAACCGAATTATTAAATATTAAAAAAAGATGCAGAAATAAACTAACAAATTTTCATTTATTCGCAGAAAATACGTTTAATGCTGTAATTGTCTTCGACAGAAAATGAATGCAAAGTTAAATATCGTTCCATCGTATAACATTTTTATTGGGATTTTTAAATATACCGTAGAAAATTACTATTTAATGCGTGTCTTTGTATTCATTGCCAACAGGTTATAAAAGATATAATTATACATTTAAAAAAATTTAACTTACTAATAACATCCATTTTTGTGAAAAAAATCGCTTTCGAAAACTTATTACAATCGTATTATAAACTCCAACAATAGTTGAACAAGTATTCTTAAAATTTATTGTTTAGCAACAATAAAAACGTGCTTACGGAATGCTTACGCGTGTTAATCAATTTTACTTACTAATAACATCCATTTTTGTGAAAAAAATCGCTTTCGAAAACTTATTACAATCGTATTATAAACTCCAACAATAGTTGAACAAGTATTCTCAAAATTTATTGTTTAGCAACAATAAAAACGTGCTTACGGAATGCTTACGCGTGTTAATCAATTTTATTTTGAGTTTTTTTTTTTTGGTGGGTGATTATAATTGAGGTTGTTTCTTTTATTTCGCAATACATTTCTTAGCCGTTCGACCAATCGCTAATAATCTCGGTAATTAATTTCAAATCCTTCTAACGTACAGTACATCATGTCGTACAGTACATTGCTCCTCGAAATATCGATTAAATTTCTATAAACCACTTATTTTTTTTTTACATATGATTTTCGTTCATTTAGTTATCGCAACACAATTCTTAGGCCATCTGCATAGAAGAGTGTTTTCCGTAAGGATTTTTAAAAGGAAACTTTCTTCTCTTTCGGTACTAGCTCGGGTATTCGGCTTCGCTCAGGGAGTCGAAATGAAATTGTGTGGTAGTTGAAATAAAAAGATAAACTTTAAAATATAAGAGGTAAAAAATTTTATTGAAAATATATTCTAACTATTTACAATACTTGTATATAAACAACATGTTTCATTTTGTTATCCGGGGTATATATATAAAAAGTTTTCGAATTTCCTACTCGAGAGCAAGCTACGTATAGTTGACGGTGAGAGAAGCAGGAGTTTTTGAGGTTGATGCCGCAATGTTTTATATGTGTCCTTGCGCTTTGTCAATTGTAAAACTATAGGCTAATTTAATTGGAAATTGCACTCTTTTAAATTGGAATGGCATTTCAGTAGAGATCAGTGGTATTCTGAAGATAAATAATGAGTCCTTTGTCCTTTCTAGTCATAAGTTCGGCTTCGATGATGTTATTCGATAGCTGTTTGACGATCATCTTTGTTTTATTACATAGTTCTGATGAGTTCAAATTTCTGGGTAGTATGATCGAAGATCCAATTTTTAGTCAAAGGCATTATAATGGCATTTCCGGTACTTGCAAAAAGTTTAGAAATTCTGTGGGAAATTCGGCACTTTCTGTCGATCGATTTGTATATTCTCTCCTCACCGAAAATTTTTTTTTGAATATTAAAGTTGATATCGTCGACAATATCATTTTTAGTTGCCAAAATTGCCCTTCGAAATAGCCATTCCGGATTGGTATAGTTGTGAACAATGTTTGGGTAAATTTGGTGGATGAGTTCGTTTTCAGTAGTGACTATGTTGCAAAAATCACTGTTGAGTTTAATGAAACGGATTCGTATGCTCAGCGGGATATGTGCCTTTGCCTATTTGTAAAAGTTTTTGAGCAAAATGTGCTGTTGTTTCGTTTTTCGAGAGTTCAACTCATATTTTTTGTTAGTCGCAGTATTTGTATGTATGGCCAGAGATGTGATTTTTTAAAGCATGCATTGATCATGTCTGCTGGTGTTGAAGTGGGGATAACTGGAAGAGTTTGTCGAAAATCTCCTGAGAGTATTAATAGAGCTCCTCTCATCACTTCAGAGTTTTCTCGCAAGTCCTGTGATGTTCTGTCCATGGCTTCGAGTGACACTTTATGTGCCATTGTGCATTTGTCCCAGAAGATAATTTTAGCTTGTTTTAAAAGTTCATTCCGTCCAGATCCTCTTGAGATTTTACACACCGGGAATTGTTCTTCAGCTATATTCAACGGTAGTTGTAGGGCCGAATGGGCAGTTCGTCCTCCTTTCATAAGTGTGGCTGCAATGTGGGATGATGCCAGTGCAAATGTGATCTGTTGTTAGCACGTATTTCTTCCAGCAATAGATTTATTAGAAACGTTTTTCCGGTGCCGCCTGGTGCGTCCAAGTAAATAATTCTGCCAGTGTTGTTGATCCGGTCCATGATAACTTTGTAATTTTTTTTAATTGTCATTGAAGAATGGTTTGTTGTGAGCAATGTATTGAAGTAATTTGTTTAGGTTGTAGCATTTTTTCCTTTGCAATTTCGAAGTTTAGCACACTGAAAGCATCATTTCGTGAAATGTTCCACTATAACCTGGGATGTTGCGGGATGTTCCCGAACGTTCCAAAACATCCCGGAACGTTCTGGAATGTTGTGGAATGCTCTCGAATACACTCGAATGTTCTGGACTGTTCTAGAAATTTATAGAGAGCGAAATTCTCAGCCTTTATATCTTCAACAGCACGCCCTTCAGGTAAAAATGGGAACCTTTTTTATGGATGAGGAATAGAGGGCTACCACACCATATAAATCTTTTGATCGTATTGGGACTCGTTTTTGAGTTTTAGCGGCACGCACATTGTACACTTACCTTTATAATATATATTGATGATTGATTACAGACGTGGAGAACACTCGGAAAACGTCACGTGGCTAACCTGTTTAAGCGTGGTGCGGACCCACGGCCAAACTTTCAGTGTTTAGGGGTCGTCCATTCAAAGTACCAGGACGAAGTCTGCTCGGCCACGGAGAGGTTCCAGTTAGAAAAACCCGTTTCAAAAGTAGCAGAGTCGAGTTGGTATTCCATCAGTCTGGGTATAACGGTAATAGAAAATAATTATTTTCAGTCTGAAGAAAGATATTACAGATGAGAATTTTTTGTTGATTTTATATATATTTGGATGTATTTACATCGACATTTATATAAATCAACGTAAAAGTTTTCATCTGTAAAATTATAAGTCATTTTCAAATATTATTATCGTCAGGAATTTAATAAATATTGTAGTGATTTTATCTCGTTTCAGCATATTGTTGATGTAAACCTGCTGATGAAAGACATTGTGGTTTGAAACACAAATATGATGTGTGCAGGTGAAATAGGTGATCAATAAAGATTGTTTTTCTGATTAAAACTTTCTCATTTTACAGAAATGAAATATTAGTACAATAAGTCATAGTAATATAATAAGTTCTAGTAGACATAAATATGATACATCGTATTAAATAAAGAGATAAATTCAATTGTAGTAATGTGTTTTTGTACAATGTCATTACTTGGTGAAGTTAATAAATAAAGCAATTTATGAGCATGTTCTCTTGTGATATGCAGCTCTTGTTTATTTTTCACATTTACTTTTACCTCTTTGTAATTCTCGTGTAAAATAATTGTTGCCAAGTTACAGTCTGTTAACGAAAGTATGTTATTGTTTATCTAATTCATCAGTATATTTTCTTTATTTTTAGCAGTTGTAATTAACTCTTTCTGCTTGCACGGATTTTACTTCAGTAAAGTTATTTAAATTTAGTTTCTGATATCAAAAATGACCTCCAATAGCTTTTTAATTTTTCAAATTAATATATTTCACTATATATGCGTTTAATTAACTCGGGGTGTCGGAAATCGCAATAAAAATTTTAATTTTTTAAAAATATTTAAAAATATACGGCCAGCTAGTATTCACCCTACTATAAATCCTTCGCCTCCCGAGAACTCTACGAGAATGTCCCGGGAAATGTAACACCAGCTGTTCTCAAGGTCATCCAGGTGTAAACACAATGACTCATCGGTGTCAGATTTCACAGAAAGGCGAGACAATAGGAAAAAAATTGAATCATTTACATTAAAATTAACGCATTTCTTTCGTTTTTTCAGTTTTAAGTATTTTTTATGTTTAATTACATTAATATTAAAAATTGGTGAAAACTAAAGAGATTAAGAAATAATTAATTAACTTAGTTAATAAGGTAATTGATTAACATCGCGCTTCAGGAAAGGCAACAAGAAATCACTCTGGTTGTAACTTCCCCCAGGATACACTTTGGCGCGCTACTAACCACTTATTATCTTGCGCCAGGTGCTCGCCGACGTCAGGATGTTTCGATATGACATGGACAGAGACCCTTAGAAAGGACTTTCGGAGGACATTCCCCCATAAGAAAACAGATATTTCTTTCAGAAATATTTTTTCAAAACGATACAGTTTTTTAATCATTCGATCTCTGACACCGTGTCCAATAGAAATATCTGGTAAGTATAGAATATAAAACAGATCATTAAACAACACGATAACTGCTTCGGTAAGTTTAAGCGAAATTATTAATTTATGTATTTTTTTAACATTCAGAACATTACTGGTTACTTCAATATTATCAATATAATCTCCAGGTTCATTTTTGTCTGTCGCTCTCTCTTCTATTCTCGTATAAATCGTAATAACTTTTCGTGAGTCAGCGTAGAACTTTTGTCTTTTACATTACGCTCTTTTCGAAAGGAGTAGGACCTGGTTTTTATTGCCTGCATTTTACTCATTTTACGCCCAAAAATTCTATGAAAATAATTTAAAGAAATTTATGTACAAAAATTTTACAATTGTCTGAGCAATGAGCAAAAGTAGAAGACGGAAACAAACTGACAACTTGACTAAACACTACGAAGCCCGATAAATACCGTAATTACTCAACCGAACGATCCGTTAAACAATCGGGCTATAAATTCATTATTATTAACGATTAGATACTAAATAATCTAATAATGATTTGTACATTTATATTACATACAAATGTACGAACAAATAAAAACTCAGCGAAGCGGGTCCTTGCAGCTAGTATTGAATAAATATGCAATTTATTTTTAATTAAATAATAAATCGAGGTTTTTTTCAGATTGCATTCTCCAAAAAATTACAGATGACGAGACTTTTCAGTATCAGAACTTCAGTTTTCTTTTCAGAGGAAAATATAGGTCAATACANCCAGCGAAGCGGGTCCTTGCAGCTAGTATTGAATAAATATGCAATTTATTTTTAATTAAATAATAAATCGAGGTTTTTTTCAGATTGCATTCTCCAAAAAATTACAGAGTATGAGACTTTTCAGTACCAAAACTTCAGTTTTCATTTCAGAGGAAAATATAGGTCAGTATTTAGGAATTTTGAAGAGGAACCAAAAGACAATTACAAGATTATTTCACAAGAATTGGGTGACGTTTCAATGAAAGAATTTCGACTTAATGAAAAACGAGAAGTAAAAATACTGAAACAGTTTAAATTACCCGAACAAATATTTGTTTGGGGAATTATTGGATACAACGGAAATATTTACGGTCGACATAAAAATTTTTCGGAAAGAAGAATTATCAAGTATAACATTGAAACAGAGAAGTTGACTTTTGGAGATAAATTCGATTTCGGTGAGAATAAACATTTCGTATATTTATTTCACGATGATAACTTTTTCTGGGCATTAGAAGTTATAAGTCCGACATTACATTATTTAGACATTGTTTTAGTGGGTTATAAAATGGATTTTGATAATTTAAAAGTTTTGTCAAAACTGAATTTTACTTCAAATAATTTTAATTATAGATTCACGTTTGTTGCTTATGATAAGCTGTATCGCGTTTATTATCGCTCTGTTAAGATTTATATTTCTTCGGCTTTAAACGACAAAGAGTTTCTATACATTGATGTACAGGAAAACCTATACAAATTCGAAAGAGTCTTGTATAATGCTAAAAAACAAAATCTTTACTTACAGTCTACTGATTACAAACATAACTATCAAATTATTGTAAAAAACTTACACTTTAATTGTTCAAACGAAGATTGACGAGTCGTTTCAAAACTTGAATTATTTTTTTTTATTTTTACTTTTCCATATAAAATCGTTTTCTACTAATAAACAGTTTTAATGTTAATAATTGTCTTGTATGAATTATTAATAAACACATTATCTGCTTACTTTGTTGGTGTATAAATAATAGTGGTAAGTACAAAATATTTAAAGTTGAATTAATTTTGTGAAAATTTTTATATGAAAGATAATTGAAATTAACCGATTATATAGCATAGCAGAGTTGAATAAAACGGAATATTGATTAATGTATTATACACATTACATATGTTACCGTTAAAATTTATAATTCGTTATTCTAGAGAATACTTGGTTATTTCATCGAATATTTAAACAGACCCGTTAAACTGTATAATTTTTTACCATTGCATACCTTAACCATGTATTACATTAAATAATGATTCCTGCTTCGTTAAAGTGTGAAATGAAAATTGTGTTAGTTTTTAATGATCAGGGAATTTTATCGATGATGAAGATAAAGAATTAAAGCTATGCCAACCAGTGTTGTTGTCCGTTGAAGTTATCGGTTTCACCAAACGATCGCGTTAAACGAATGGGTTAAAATCGCTATTATTAGTGATTAGATGCTAACAAATTTAGTACTAAACATAGACGCTAAGAGAGTTTTTTATGTTAATTAATAATTATTAATTATATCATTATAATATGATATAGTAGCTAATCATTAATAATTGTGGATTAATGGCTCGAATGAACGGATTGTTTGGTTGAGTATTTATGTATCGGGATTCGGAGTGTTTAGTCAAGCTATCAGTTGTTTTCCGTCTTTCTGCTTTTGCTCAGTGCTCAGACAATTCTAAAATTTTTGTTATTAAATATCTTAAAATTACTTTTATACAATGTTTTTGGGAGGAAAATGAGTAAAATACAAGTGATAAAAGCTTCGATATCAGCGTATTGCAAAATACAAAAGTTTTACGCTAACTGACGAAAAGTCATTTCGATTTATACGAGAAATGATGACAGTTAGAGTGACAGACAAGAATGATTCTGAACAGAAGCCAATGAAATTTTCGAAATTTAAGCAATGAAAATAAAAATAATGTCAGAAAAATCATATTTTGAGACATCTGTAAAAGCGACTCTTTGTATTCAGGCCCCTGATTTTGATAGAAGATGAAGAGACGTCAGATCAATTTAATTGTCGTTCTCTGGAAGTAACAGATAACCAGTTGTTTTATAAACCCAGTTATAAACCCAAGATATAAAACTAGTAGTAGAAACAGCTAGAGGACAAACATATGTTATTGAAAAGCTACTGCACAAATAAATTACATTATATATTGCACAAATATATTATATATTGGTTGCACAGGACATAAGAAAACTGGCGAAAGAGTTGCGAGACCTCGTGTTAATGGATGAAGAAATAGGGACTGTTATGGACTACGAGAATCTGTACCCTGCTTTAAAAGTAGAATCATGTCTTACAGCATTAATGGAATTTATGTTCCTACAGATTGCGGAGTTTGTGAATTACACCGATGACATTACAGAATTAGCCAGATTGGTATGCTACGAATTCTTTTTTGTAGCTTTAATATACAGTAGACCCCCCTATGATTACGGTTCCTATAATTACGATTCCTATAAAACTGCGAAAAAATTGCGACGGTATCTGTAAAAAACGGTAAAAAAAACTCCTATAATTACGTAAAACGTCATCGGGCAGCCAAACTACTTTCCCGCTGTCTGTAGAGCCACGCTACAGACATTTAGGCGTGTAAATTGAGTTTACTATGGACTGTACAGTATTATATATAAATTATATATAAATTAGGTACTGTACATATAATTATATATTAATTATATATAAATTAGGTACTGTATATATAATTATATATTAACTTAATTTATTGTAACTTTATTATAATTATATATATATTTTCTGCCGCGTAGCGCCATGCTATGAAGATTTTACGCTAACTATCGTCTGTACAGTATGTAAATTAGGTACCGTAAGTCTAATACAGTACTGTAATTTTATACATTTCTTGTGAAAAAAACATTTCTTTTTCAACAGCGATAAAAATTATTTATATTAATGATGTCTCCAAACTTGAACGAAGTTTTCGCAGAAAAATAAGTTATCAGAAATCGGCCGCGTTTGGTCTGCTGCTTCGCGACGAAAACAAGGTTGAGCAATGGCGATGTCGAATGGTGCACACTCGGTAAGTAATCCTACAATTTTTTGTTTATAGCGTAGTTTATACGGATTATTTCCCAAAAAATATACCTATTTTGGAAATCTTGAGTCGGATTAGTCTAGAATCAATAAATTTTATGGAAGAAAACCTTTTAATTAGCCGTAGTCCGTAAACTTGACACGTGTCGGGCTGTGATTGGAAGGACTCGTAAGAAATCAGATTCCTAAAAAATGGAACGTATCTATGATCTTATAGGGGGGTCGACTGTATAATAAACTAAAT